TGATGCCAGCAGGGGAGGAGGAGAAGGACAAGGGCAAGGAACTTATGGGCTCCCTTCGGACTTTCGGGGATGTATATTGGGTGTCCATGAGTTTTCATGCGGGAATATATGGCGCCCCCTGCAATAATCTAAGGCTTCTCTGGGAATATACGGGTTCCCTTGCGGAAAGATTATATGGGTTCACGAGCGGGAGTTGGGTTCCCGTCGGGAACTATATAATGGTTTCTGCATCGGGGGTCTATGGGTACACCTGCAGGAATCTATGTGTCCCATTTGGGAATTTATGGGTTCCGCTGCGGGAAGCTACGATGTATCTTGGGAGATGCCCACCATGCGTGCTCTTCGATGAAACCACAAAAACCACAATGGCACCATGAGCCACGAGCCATGAGAGTTGGAAAGTCACTTAAACCAAGACTCTTTAAAGACATACAGAAATGTTGAATTCAGTTAGAGGAATCACATGTTGCGGACAATATCTTAGAACTCTCAACTCGCGCGCGTCGGAGCTCTGTATTGTCCATGCACATTGGAAAAGTCGACGCGCCCGTCTCTTTAAAACGCAACATAATTTTTGAATTCAATTTTTGGAATTGTATGTCGGCTTTTCTTGTGGACAAACTCATTAACGCGCGCGCGCGCGCGCGTCGGAGGTCTGTATTGTCCACAATAGACAAGCCAACGCGCCCCTTTTAGGGAACAGCAAAAAGTTTGAATTCAGCCTGTGACATTATATGTAACCTTTTATTGTGGACAATACAGAACCCCGACGCGCGCGCAATACTGAACTCCGACGCGCGCGCTCGCGCGCGCGCGCGCGCGGGTCACCATGGTCACCCGCGCGCGCGCGGGTGGCTTTTTCTCGTGAAGTCGGTGATGGTGTTGGTGCTGTTGCTTGTGGTGGTGATGATGCTGCTGCAGCTGGTGACGCTGCTTATGCGATGGTGTTGGTGTTGCTGCTGATGGTGGTGGTGATGCTGCTGCTGGTGTTGCTGTTTGTGTTGCTGATTCTCGTGGTGTTGCGGGTGCTGGTGGCGCTGCTGTTGGTGCTGGTGATGCTGACGTTTGTGCTGCAACTGATGCTGCTGCGGGTGCTGGTGGCGGTGCTGATGTTGGTTGTGTTGCTGGTGCTGGTGATTGTGGTGGTGCTGATGGTGCTCATGCTTATGCAAATGCGGTTGCTGGCGGTTGTGGCGTTGCTGCTCATGCTTCTGCTGGTGATGGCGGTAACGGTGGAATCATGCAGTTTAAGAGTGGCCTCGGGCACGTTTTCTCGGGGGCCTCTCGGGCCGATATCGGGCTTGTCGTTGATTTCTCGTGGGGCCCACGGTGCGGCCCAATTGATTGACCTGGTCTTGGTGCCATCTTGCGGCTATTGCGAGGGGCGCGAGAAGCCCCTCGGGGGAATCTTGCCCACATTGTTTCCAGAAAAAACTGAAAACGCATTTGCGCTTTTGCAACCCCCCCCCCCCCCCCCCCCCCCGCCTCCCCCTCCAACCCCCCCCCCCCCCCCCCCCCCCCCCCCCCCCCCTCTCCGACCCACCCCCCACCCCCCATCCGCCCATCCCCTCCCCAGCCCCCCTCGTCCCCGCCGCTGTCGCCAACCGCCAATTCCAACACCGCCCCCTTTTCTCCGAACCCCCCCCCCCCTCCCCCCCCCACCCCCCTTCCCCCCCTCCCGCTCACCCCCCCCCCTCGCACCAACCACACCCCGCCCCCTCACACCCACGCCACCTCACCCCACCCCCCTCTCCCGCCCCCCCGCCACCCTGTTCCCATCGCATTGGGCCATATTGGGGCCACCTTGGAGCCTCAAGAGCTCACTAGAAGAGAGAAGGCGAGACGGCAACGCTACGTTTGTGTCATTCAGGTTTCGTACCAAATTTGGGTTTCTCGGGGTGGCTCTCGGAAGGGCCTGGGCACTTGGAACCGTCTTGGGGCAGTCTTGGAGCCATATATATATATATATACACATACATATGTGTATATATATACACATGGATGCAGTCCCCCTCTCTCTCTCTCTATCTCTTTCTCCCTCTCTCGAATATGGAGGATGGTGATATCAACAACCCATGGCCAATGCGCCGCCAGGCACTCTTTTGTTTAGTGGTGGCCAGCGGCCGCCGCGGTGGCCGACGCGGCCATTCGCATATTGCCCTTCATTGGGCGGCGGTTCGGTGGAGGAGGAGTTGGATTCATATACATATAATAATGTATCACATATATCGGAGCGAGATTCAACATACGGCGAAGACCGATCTACGTATATTGCCAATTATTGACGCTTTGCGTATCTCCACCAGCCCATCCAGGAACCATCTCCTGGAGAGCTGACGGGAGAAGGGCTGAATAAACCCACATAGTGCGACAGCGCGGGCAATACCGCTGAATTGAGATATCTGTGGTCGCGAAGGGTGCGGATGCTGCTACGGGTGCTGTTGCTGTTGCTGGCACTGCTGCTGCTGCTGGTGATGTTGCTGGTGTTGCTGGTTCTCGTGCTGCTGGTGATGTTGCTGGTGCTGGTGGTGGTGCTGCTGCTGGGCAGGTGCTGCAGGTGCTGCTGCTGGTGTTATTGCCGCTGGTGGTGTTGCTGCTGGTGGTGCTGCTGCTGGTTGTGCTGATTCTGCTGCTGATGGCGTTGATGGTTCTCGCGTTGCTGCTGGTGCTGCTGCTGGTGCTGCTGCTGGTGCTGGTATTGCTGTTTTTGTTGGTGATGGTGCTGCTGTTGTTTCTGCTACTGGCGGTGATGGTTCTCGTGCTGCTGGTGTTGGTGATGCTGCTAATGCGTTTGCTGCTGATCGTGGTGATGCTGGTGCTGCTGATAGTGCTGCTGCCGATGCTGCTGTTGGTGCTGATGCTGACAGTGGTGGTGGTGCTGATGGTGCTGCCGCTGCTGCTATAGTGCTGTCGCTGGAGATTGTGGTGCTGATGTTGTTGCTGCAGGTGATGACGGTGGCGGTGAGAGCAGGCAGGTTAACAACCGCCTCGGAAACGTTTTCTCTGATGCCCATTGGAGCCATGGGCTCCCTTAAGTTGGGGTCCTCTCACAGCGTTATTGGTGGCTATATTGGGGCTCTGTTGGGGTGGGGTGGGGGTGGGTGGTTGGTGGGTGGGGGGCGGCGGTCGTGGAGTGGGTGGGTGGGTTGGGGGGGGGTGGGGGGAGGGGGGGGGGGGGGGGGGGGGGGGGGGGGAGGGGGAGGGGGCGGCGGTGGTGGGGGGGGGCGAGGGGGTGGGGGGGAGAGGGGTGGGGGGGGGGGGGCGAGTGGTTTGTGTGTGTATCGTGTGTGTGTGTGGTGATGGTGGTGGGTGGTGGTGTGGGGTGGGTTTCGGGGGGTGGTGTGGGTGGGTGGGTGGGTGAGGGTGGGATGGGCGGGTGGGTGGGGGGGTGGGGGGGTGTGTGGGGGGGGAGAGACGCAGGTGGGCATCAGGAGTTGTTTTGTGACTCTGAGATGCCTCTTGGGGCAGTCGCTGCCACACACACACATACACACACGCGCGCCGCCCCTCCACCCCACCCCGCCCCCTCTCGCATGCTCAAAGAAGGCGCATTGGGCGATCGCGGGCCGCTCTTGGAGCGCTATAGTATGTGAGCTCGTGGGAGCATATTGGGCGTCTTGGGGCTCCATTCGGCCATATTGGGGCCATCCTGACGCCTCAAGAGCGCATCGGAAGACAACGATCGACAAAGCAAACAGCATTGATGTTCCTTTGGTCTTGGTGCAATTGTTGCATCTTTGTTGAGGGGGAGGGTGGTCCTGGAGGGCTCAGATTGCAATTGAAACCGTATATTGGAGCCGCATTGGAGCCTGGATGCATGTCGGAGGCGCAATCTTGATGTCTGGTGTGTAATCTTGAAGCCATCTGGGCTATCTGGGGCCCTCTTGGAGCAAATCCATTGAGCCAGCATGGGCGCTCTAACCCTTCGCGGGGAGCCCCTCTAGACGCAGTGTGCCTGTGTGTGTATGCGTGTGCGCGTGCGCGCGCGCGTGCGTGGGGTGGGCGGGTGAGCGGGCGGGGGGGAGGGGAGAGGGCGTAAACCTCCCGAGCTGGGAAAGGAGTGATATTGGAAAGAGGAACGCCATAAACCACCTGCGCCCAGAGGTGGGTTCACTGCTGGGAGTGCCATATATACGTGTCGGTCGGAAGGTGCCATATCGTCTCGTTGATTATCGGTTTATATATATTGTGGGGAGTTCCCGACGCACTTGTCGTGAGAGTATTATAGGATTGCTGGGATCGTCTTCCACGCGCGTTGGGAGGTCCTTATCCACCTGCTCTGAAGCAGCATCTACGTTCGGTGCTGGAATTGCTATATGTACAGGGGGAGGGGTGGTGCTGACCTATTGTATTTAGATCCGATCTACGTCTGAGAGTGTGATTCTACTTGGCGAGTCAGGGCCCTAACTATTTTCGGGTGGATCGTACATAGTGGGGGACCCCATACCTGCTGAGAATCTCGTTGCTTGGTCGAGGTTCGATGATCGAGGACCGAGGTTCGCATATGGAGTTTCGAGGATGTAGAATCGAGGCTCGAGGTTCAAGATTTGATCATCGAGGGTCGAGGTTCGAGGTTCGAGGATCGAGGGTCGAGGCTCGAGGTGGGTCGATGATCTAAGCTCGAGGATCGAGCATGCGACTCGAGGCTCGATGATCGATCGAGTTGTGAGGGGGGGATCGGGGCTCGATGTTAGCGGTCCGAGACTCGAGAGTCGATGACCGAGGCTTGCACGAAAGGTGGCACCCGCGTCACATCACGCGTGCCCGCGGGAGATCTGTGCAGGGGCGGCGCGCGCGCCCGCGGATGCATCGCGCGGTCGCGTTTTTTTTTTTTTTGTTTTTTTTCTCATCTCGCAGGCGGCACGAATGCCCGCGGGAATGGCATAGCGCGCTCGACTCGCAGGGGGGCGGCGTCCCGCGGTTGAGCGAAGGAGCGCTCTGTATGCGCTCGGGCGCAAGGAGCGCCCTTATCTATTATAGGCGCGCGCCTAGTGGCCGCCTCAGATCTGATTCTCGAGGTTCTTGATCGTCTCGGCCAAGTAGCTGATCATCTTATCCTGCGCGTCGATCTTCTTCTCAATCGTGCTCAGGTCCGTGTACAGGTCACTCAAGACAGCCTGCGCCTGGAACATCCTGCGGTGGCGCCGTTGTGCACTGGGGTAGATCTCAGCCACGGCCTGCTGGCCATTGTCGTGC